AGCATTCATTGTACTTTGAACAACGTTTTAACTTCCATTAGTATATTGATCTATGTAAATATATTCTGATGTTGTGTGGTTGGTGAATGGTTGTTATTTTCGTTTTTATAGTGTCTAAAATGAGTGCAGACTGAATAAATCTATTCCAAGTTTTCATTTACCATCTAAGTACTCTGTTCCTAATCTATCCCTGATGATCATCTGTTACTCAGCATACACTAAATTGATCCAAGTTTAAAGTTAAACACTAGGTCTTTGTTTCGTTTGTTAACTAATCTCCGTTTTGCTAGTCCCTTATGACCTATAATCTGATCTTCAGTATCTAGACATGGCAGATGTTGATTAGTCACATTATGGAGAAAAAAATTATTTTGATAAAGTCTCCAAGCGTTAATTGACACGAATTCGAGAAAAAGAACCTTTCCTAGAGTAGAATGGAACAGTGTCAATTATCACCTGGTTTCTCAATGGCTGTCTGTCTGATGCCAACTGGCGACTGAACTCGGAAGAAATTTAGTTAATGTGATCAAAAATTCATAATCTCATTAGGGAAATGAAAACCTCATGCATGAGTGAAATACTGTTCTCAAAATGAGCAATGAGGCAAAATCAGTAATGTGGATACAAATACGCATGGTGACCTAATTGTTGAGACATTCTTTGCTATTTGATCTGCGATTAGACACCACTGATCACCAAACTTCATGAGGTTTTCACGGAAAAGTCATTGAGAAATAACTTTGGATAGATTAAATCCCATCACACACGTATTTATTTGGTCCACATAAAATGGATAATAACATCCTTAACTTTTTGTAAATAATGCGTGTTACGTATGGATTTTGAGGACATAAAATATTTTCTTAGAATTGGTCATACCTCAGAATATATCATAGTGTATTGTCATAACTTAAGAAAGTATGAGAAGGCAGATTTAACATTCCAATGAATGTCACAACAGATATGATGAGATCCTAAGTAAATGAAGTCAATGCTTATTTCTAATGCTCTGAAATACTTACTATCGTTCAGTGGAACAGATATCTGATATTCACTAGTTCGTCGATTTCCTTTTCTCCAGATTTTCAAAACAAATGTTGTGCCTTCTCACACGAAACAGTGTGAGGAAGCTAGCGTCATTCTGCATATTGATGAATGATTTGATTAAATGGAAATCACACGCATCAAACAGAATTGTTTGCTGGCCTATTACTATTTCTCCTTTATTAAACATCAGTGGGATTCAGCTTATTCTGTGGAATTGTTTTGAGTAAAGTAGCCTAAGGTATAGCATTCAGTATGTTGATTTGTGTTTTATATAAGGAAAGGTATTTATGTTTCTATGGATCATGTAATCGTATCGGTGTTTATATGGTAGGCATCCTTGCGTATATCAAGCAATGGAGTGAAGTTTGCATATGAATATGGAAAAATTCTTGATGAGGAAAATGATCATTGCGAATAGAAGTTGAGAGAATGCCAAGAAACCCTTCAAGCTAACCAGTTCCAGTGGGGTTAAATGAAATGCATGATTATATCATTCATGCAGACTTGGAAATATCTCACTTCGCTTTGAAGTCAACAATGAAGGTTTGTCTTGTGAGTCAATGAATCATTCGTATTTTAATCATTCAGCTCATATACTACAACCAGAGTGGGTTAGTTACTTTAATTTCGGATATTTCGGAAAAAGAGACCCCATATTTTTTCAGCGTTACTAACTGTTGAAAGTCCCCGAAATTTCAAATGATCGCTATTACTCTGTTGTTATCTTCAAATACATTTCAAGTGGTCCGTAGTTTTTATTACTCAAAAGTCTGTGATATCAGCGCAAGCATACTTTTTAATGATCTCCCACGAGACATTCAGTCAACTAAATATTCGAGCAAAAACTGTTTCGAAGAATATGAAAGATACTCGCGGTACTCAGTAAGATACTCAGTTATCATACTACTGAGGATGGAATTAATGATGATAATGATTTGTGATATAAAGTTCTGTGTCATGATCAGCACATTTTCCTCGTGCCGACACTTTCACAATCACACACTTCATCCAACATATCCTCCAAAAGACAACCTCTACACATTCACAGCCATCTCCAAAAAGTCATGAATGCACATCTTTGTTTCTCACTGTTCCCAGTTCATCATGGCCACCAAGATTTGCGTGACTGTATATTTTCCACCAACATGAGTTTTCCATCAGCAAGTCAAACATCTCGTCACACATGAATCGATGACTGTCATCATAGAGTCAGAAGGATCTGTGCAGTCCTGTCATGTGGATATCATCTGTTTCGCATTGCCCAGTCAACAAGTCACACGTGATTATTTTTGCTGACATTCTTTTTCTGTTACCATTCCTGAACATGCGCCACCAACACATCTGTCCACATCTGATCATCATTTCATCGTCCTTTATATTATCAGCATCCCCATGTGTCATATCTGTGTTACTTATGTCTTTTTGTGCTACCTCGGCTAGGGCAAATCTTTAAACCCATCAACTTATTCACTAATAAATTTAATCTTTATTGTTTGTGACCAACAGGTCATACAACCGATTACAAAAATGAAGATTGCTCATTTGATCCTTGATTATTATGCTCAGATGAATTGTTGTGACCAATTTTTTATTGTCAGTATAAGTTCTTTTTTTGTTAATGCTCAGAAATTCAGTGAATTGTACGTAGTTATTACATATAAGTGAAATAGTGGTGACAATTCACATTCAACATTTTTAGCAGAAATAATCTTTGTACAGTAAATCTGGACTACTATTCTTGTTGAACAAATGGTTATTTTTCAATAATTTATGGTTGATTAAATCGACATTGGTGTTAGATAAATACTCATTTGTTCAGATACAGTCACAGTTTAAGAAAGATGATTCTTATATAAAATAAGTACACCGATTTCCCTTGATAAGTATTCCTTTGAAGAATGTATTCGTATTTAAGCTGTGAATATTTCAAATGGATGCATCCTGAGTCAGTATTCTTTATTATTGGTTCTGAATGTTTCAGCATATATGCAGTGACTTTCGTTCAGTGCATAATTTGTTTCTTGGTTAGCGTAACATGACTTAAATTAGCCAAATGAATGTGGAACTTCAGTCTGGTGAGTATTGATATCATTGTGCAAAAACGAACCATATAAATATCATCATTTCTGGCAGCTGACGAGGTTTCTGTATTTGAACCTTCCACTAAATGCTTAGAAGTAATCTTTTTTCTAAACTGCTGTACCACTTTTACTCAACGGCAGGTAATATGAGTAGAGTGTCGTCCACCTGTACATCTCATTTCACGTGGAAGAGCTCTAACAATAAGACAATATGAACAGCCTGTTTAAGATACTATGCAGAGTGATTTTTACAAGCAAACATTCACTTGGTGAGAACGATGTGAGATTGAAATATAAATGGTCAGTTATTCACTTGGCGCAGTTAATTTAAATGCAAAACACAGGAAACACCCTTGAGATATCCTTCCTATAATTCTAAGCTGGGAACCATCCCAGGATGCATAAGAGCATAGGTAAGTTTTCAAAGATGTCATTACATAGTATAAACGTTGAGACGTTGGGGGAACTATTCCTTTATAAAATAGACAGAAACTCACAATTAGTTCCGTATTAGATTTATTATATATGCGTTAGGTATTTAATAATGGAATTGTGTTGTTTCGTCGAGTTATGAGTGTAATTGGATCAGAAATTCGGCTGGTGTCTGAAATGATTCAAAGTGACGAGTTATGGTGTCAATGCAAGAAGCAGATCTACACATTCTATTGCAAAGCTGCGCACCAAAGACAGCAATAAACAATTCTCTACAACATAATAGTCGTTCGAAAGGGACATGCGGAAATACTCGGTGTAGCTAGAGTGAGAATTATTGAGCCTATTCAAATTGCTACCTGTGACGGGAAAATTCCTTATAAAAATAACAAACACGTTTATTTCTGGTTTAGCAACTCATCTACGCCTGTGCTAATATATGCAACCATACATAAAAAATTTTAAAAAATCATGTTTATATTACGACAGGTGAAAATAATTACGGAGCTCTAGACGACTCAGTTTACAGAGGCTGGCAACAACTTACTATGCACTTGAACAATAAGGATATCATGAGTTCGTTGTTCAACATTTCGTGAATTTCTCAACTAACTACAATCTACGCACATTTACTTCCCTTAATCACTGGAAATGTTTCAACATCTTTGTTGTACAAAATTCTGTTGACGACTTTCTACAAAAATTTCACTTAATCACTTTCATATATCGGGTAGAATTGACCACACGCCACGTTATATCACAATTTGTTACAAGATGTCCACAGTGTGGAGATCAAACTTTTGACTGTATTATTTGATGTGAATCTATGACACATTATTATTTTTAAACGCAAACAATCATTTTATGCATTTAAGTTAACATCAATACACTTTGATCTTTGATTAATTTCGCATTTTTATGAATTCACCAATTTTATTCTTATAAAAAAAAAGTTCAAAGTGAAATATTTTCAGTTGTGATAAAAAATCTTAAGTTAATGTTCACATAACGACTTCATTATACTTATGTAAAAAATTAATTTAATTTGCAAAATAACCTTTGGTATCAGTTAATGAACGTCCTATAAAATTGATTAACATCAATTATATTTTATTCTTGACTTAATTAAATTTTCTTATGAAGTAACCACTTTTTATCAAATAACACGACAGGGTTCAAAGTAAAACATTTTCCGTCGTGTTAAAAAGTCTCAAATGAATGTTGGAACGACGACTTGACTATTCTCACCAATAAGAATAAGTAAATTTCAACTGAAGCCTTTGATACCAATTATTGAACGCTTCACAACAGTTCCATAAAATTGTAAGAATCAAAGTATGAATAATGAGATGAATATATTTACACATGGGCTGATCATCTTTTTCTGGTGAATACTGTAACATCTGGTGTGAGGTGGCTTTTCTCTCTGAGGTAGCTGATTCAACATTTATCATTTGTCGCAACTATCATTTGTCTGTCATTATTCAGAATCTCCAAGACAACCATCTCCGTGTAAATTCACGCCTTATAATTCTATGACAAGATAGATTATGAGGTCTACTGCAAGATATCAATAGTGAGCAGTCATCCCATTATAATGGATGTATATCAGAATCTTCCTCTTCATGTCTTTTATTGACATCCTGGAACACACTTGGACATGTCCTTGTAGTCGAAACGCTTCACATCCTGCAACATGACTTGTATTGTCAATATCAACACAGATGAACAGCCTTGCATCGCTAATAAAGATTCTCAATATATAACATACTAGATTAGCGTTTGTTGAAGGGATCATCGTAGTAAATTGAAATCTCTGCTGCATTCATTGAGGGTTGATATGTTTTCATCTATATACCGGTGGTTATTTCAGGCCGATAACTCGAATATCATATGGTTACGCAGTATATCTTGTTTAACGTGGGCTTTCCCATTTATGTTTCGTATAATATATGAATATGAAATTCACAAATAAGTATCATATCTTACAAATATAGGCGATATGTATGCATCGAAATTTCATGCTAAAAGTCAACACAACGACCTGCTGTTTTTGTTACAAATTAATGTTTCGCAAGCTTGTAACCACCACACTAACAACGTCGTCACAAATTTCGCACTTTCGTTTTTCAAAAAGACATCAGTAAATACTATCAGGATTATGACAAATTCACTGAATGTTTTATTTTTCAGGTTGCTGAAACTCCTAGTATGGATTGGCACGGTTATGCATGCGCCGGGTGCCTGTAAGCCTCGCTTTTCGCAATCTTTCGTGAAAGTTTTATTACTAATGTATGACTGTAAATGCATTTATGTTCAGCAATAATTATAATCCACAGAGAACCAGTCAGTTCAGTTGTCGAAAGCTACAGCTATGGACTTAATCCAAATACTGACCAAAATTATACACTGTATTCTCGTCAGTATTCTTTTTAGTTATGTATGACATCATCCAGGTTCATAGTTCATAAAACCTCATCAGGAACATATAATTTCACCGATTGGAGGGTGTCCCTAAATAAATATGAATTTTACCCGGTATTATTGTAGTCGATGTGGTAATTTTTTTATGTCTAGTGGTCGTATCGCAGTTCATCTCAACCACATCTAATACTTCAAATTCCTAGATGAAATAAGAGTTTGCGGTTCTGTGTCCTAGTGTTCTAAGAACAAAAATATATTATTCACATTGTGCCATCAACAACAGTTAAGCTGATGACAATAAAATTACTCATATAATTTAGTGAAGGAATGCGTGCTAAGGGTAGCTCCACGGTAGCACCACAAATGTCGAAACTCCTTCTCCCATTAACCGTAACGAATAATGGATATGAAGATTTGGACGCAAAACAGAATAATGATGTACTGTCTGCATTTGATAACAAAATATGATAAACAATCACATACCATCACAGAATCGATTGATTTTATATTAGCAACTCTGTCTCAGATTCCAAAATTCAATAGAGCTGTTTTCTACTTGTATTTTAGAGTAATGATTGTTCTGCTATGCTTGTTGCTATTCTTCAAATTCAGAAATAATTTGCCGGTTGCATTGATCCTGATAGGAATAATAGTAAGTTTCTGAAAATATTAATTGAATTCATGTACTCATGATCATTTCGTATTTGATGTGTTATTCACTCGACAAAAGAATAATCTATCATAAAGATGAACAAGGGGCTGTGATGCCAGCAAGGGAGAATTAGAGCGAAATATAGACTCACTTTGTATTATACCAATGTTATCAAAAATATTAAAAAATTTTTATTCACTTATTGAAACGGTCTGTTTTATTTCGCCGACAGATTGTACTATGGTCTACCAATATCGTGTTTATATGTTGCGATTTTCAACAAAAAATCTGGTGTATTCTGTTAGTCTTCATTGTTCTTGGAGACTTGACAACAATCATCTTCTGCATTATTATCAAAAGATTCAAACAACAAGTGATGCAATTCCTGCTGTCCTTGTCGGCACTGTTTTTGATAACCGGCATAATACTGTTTTTCGCAGGGAGGCGTAGTGTAAGTGAATTGAAATGTCATATAGACTGATGCATTTTGACATTTGTTCTTTTATTATGATTATTACTCACATTTAATTTGAACCACTTGCTAATCTCTATATTCTTGAGATCATCTATGCACACATTTACAAGGAAGAATACTGCAAGTAGAACTGATTGTCCAGCACTCCAGTAAACGTACTGTATTCACCTATCTGTGAAACGGTATTCCATCTTATTTGATAAGTAATTAATTCTCTTGTGATGTGAAAACATTCTATTGCATAATCGAGAGGAATGTGAGACTGAATTTTCAATGTGAGGGAGCATTGCAGTACGCGTTATTTTATTCACTGCATATTTGAAAGTGAATGGAGAGAATTAATTCCTGTAAATAAACATTTCGTAGTGGCGTTCAATTTGACCACATTCAATTTCATCACTAAATTACTGAGAGTTATTGACTTCCTTTCATGTTCTTTGACTCCTGATGAAAATTGGGAATACAATTCACCTGGAAACATTTCAGCCCGTTTTGATTGCATTTGACGGTTTCCTTTGGAACACTGCTCTAGATCTGGTGAGTTGACACATTTTTTGCAATTTTTATTAAAAAGAATTATCTAATGTCTGATTTGAGCTGAACATTCATTAGAATACATAAAGAGTATATAAGAGACTTCATAATGTAAGTGAAGTTACCACAAACTTTCCAATCAGATTTCATATAGATATCACTGATGATTTTATTCACATATTTCAATGACAGTGAATCAATAAACTGACATTATTGTAATTGAAACCCTGTATATTCATGTTACTTGATATCGTTTATTTCAGGTGGCTGTGGTTTTCGCCAGCTTCCTCAAATAGCTTTAGTATCACATGTTTCAACTGCATCGTCTCGTACAAATTTTAGTGTAATTCACGAGTTGGTACAAAAGTGTTCATTATATTTTGCATGGAGGAATGTTAAGTCATATTTTCAAATAATTAAAATAAATTGTTGATTGTGCTCTAGAACTTCCATTTTCATTTGGCCTAAAACAATTTCTTCAGAATGTAATGGTTAGGTGTGTTCACCGGTTTGGTGATTTTCTTATTCAAGGAATCAGAGTTCTTGTTAATTTTTTCGCTAATGCGTATCTATCTATTCTGAGGAAGAAAGCGTAGAATGTACATCCAGTTGAAGTGGAAATGCACCAATGTCAAATTTATGTAAAAAATGCCAACACATTGAGCTGATGTTGATCGGGTTTTAAAAATATTCCTAAAATTAACTAAGGATAAATTTTCGTTTAAATACAAGTACAAATGGAAATAGAAAGATAAATCTGGTAACTCGAATGGATTTACGCAAATCCCATCATTTAGTTCTCACAATGTCAGGTTGTAGAGTAGTGTGGTCTTGATGAGGCACTATCGCTTGATTTTGCCTGCTCTTCTATGAAGAATGCTAATTTCAAGTTTAGCTTTTTGTAATTACAAACCATACTTAGGAGTACATTACTCTCGTTTATTTAACTCAATTTTTCTACTAGTCGACTTTTCAACTTCTCTACCATAGAAGAATCAATTGTTGAATTCGTGTTGAAAATCAGAAGTCAAGAAACGAACTATCATTTACTGACAAACAAAGTGAATAATTTTAGGGTAATTAGTTCGAAATCGTTCACGGTAAACGGGTGAGTAAGTTCCAGAACAATGTATAGTCAAGGGTTAAATTTGTGAAATCACAATTAGGAATTAAAATGCCAGAATAAATAGGGAGAACAGATAAAATTCAAGGAAGTTAGCATCATGATTACTGAGAAGATAGACATGTTGTGCTACTGGGTGCCAGAAATGTAGGACCAAAAAAATATACAGGATATTTTAATAATACGTAGATCAGCGAAGAGTCTCTTTTCGGCGAATTCATTTTCTTAGCTGTACAATCGCAAATATATATGCATTGTTTTGTATGTATGTGTACATTAAGTTTGTCAAACAAAGTTACAATTGGTTAAGGTTACTTTTAACTAAACAAGTGAAAGTTGGTAATACAGGTCAAGAAAATTAAGTGCTAATGAAACTAGGGTAGTAAAAAAATGATGAGTTGTCACAAACAGTTGTAATAATAATAGTGAGTTTTACTCAGGATGCACATAGAAACAAAGTAGATAATACGAAACTATGTAAGAGATCTAAGTGGATACAAGAATTATAATTGCTTAAGGTTATTTTAACTAAACAGGTAAAGGTTGGTAATATAAGTCAAGACCATTAAGTGCTAGGGTAGTAACAAAGGTGATGAGTTGTCACAAACAGTTGTTAAAAGAAGTTATGCAATAATAATATGAATAGTTTGATGAGTGAGTTTTACTCAGGATGCACATAGAAACAAAGTAGATAATACGAAACTATGTAAGAGATTTAAGTGAATACAAGAATTATAAGCAATTAAGGAACAGGCGAAGAAACAAAATTAAGTCATCAAAATAAAATAAAAGCTCAAAACAAATCAAAACATTGTTACCATGAGAGTAGAAGTGGTTGAGTAATCTTCTTTTGTATGCACAGCTCCGGTTTTTCCATGTGAATGGCCAGAGCTTCAGCGATGCAAAGGAGACGAAACCGTATTGCCTTTGATATGTTATTCTTGACTCTGTAGATTACTTTGAAGGAGGCGTTCGTTGAAATGCAATGATCAGTGTTGACCAGGTGTTCAATTATCGCACTCCTTATTGCACCAGTATTGCCTTTTCGCAACCATGCTGGATAATGTTCTTGAATTCTCTTGGACAGGATGCGCGTCGAACGACCGATGTACCTGGCTCCACAGCAGCAGGTGAACTGGTATATGCACATAGAAGTGGCCAGATGCGGGATCTTGTCCTTGAGGCTTCTGCAGATCAGTGGGCGACTGGAGAACACTATTCGTAGCGTTGCTGCAAAGAACGTTCTTCTCAGAGATGATGTGATCCTTCTCTTGAGAATATCGCTTGCTAAATCTCCCTTGAAATCCAAATTCATGTAGATTTTCTTTTTAGGCACAGTTAAAGTTTCGTTTTTCCGAATTATTGGTTTCATATTTTTGTCGATAAATCTTATTGGGTATCCATTTTGGATGAATATTTCTCTCAGAATATCTAATTCTGTTTCCAGAACGTCGGGACTACAGATGCGTCGGATGCGGGTAGCAAGTGATTTAATTAAGTTTCGCTTTTGTTGAATGGGCACCCAGCTATAGAAGCTTGTTAGTTGACCATTCCACGTAGGTTTTCTATGGATTGATCTTCTTAGGCTCCCATCAGCTCTTCTTGTCAGTTCCACATCAAGAAACGGAATTTTTGACTCGTTTTCCATTTCAAGAGTGAATTTTATTGCTGGATGGCAATTGTTAAATGTCTTCAGCAGCAGATTGGGGTCGTTGTTGTTGTCACAAATAATGAAAATGTCATCCACGTATCTTTTATACAGTCGCAAATTGTCGATGCTTGGCTTTAGTGAACCTCTCTCGAGGCTTGCCACGAAGCAATCTGATAGTAGTGGACCCAACGGAGATCCCATTGCAATACCATCCTTTTGTCTGTAGATGGTGTCGTTGAATGTGAACTGGACGTTCAGAGTGCATCTCAATAATAGTTCTTTCAAGTATGTTGTCGGTATTCCAATATCGAGGTGGTTGTCATCTATATATCTGCATATGAAGCAGACCGTTTCTGTGAGTGGGACATTGGTGAAAAGTGACTCGATGTCGAAGGACAGCATAATTTTGTTAGATACATTCGTGTCTTGTATGCACTCGATGAACTGGAAGGTGTCACGGAGCGAGTACGTACATAATTGCTTCCTTACAGGTTCCAGAATATCTGCTAGCCATTGTGCAATAGAGTGGTAAGGGGAACCTGACATATCCAGAATTGGACGAAGTGGGAGACCAACCTTGTGTACCTTTGGTAGACCATAAAGTCTTGGTATTATTGAACCTGTTGGCCGGATCTGATCGTAGATATCCCCACTGATTAGTTGACTAGCCTTCATTCTCTTCAAGACATCTGTGAGCTGCTTCTCAATCTGTTCCGTCTTGTTTCTTTCATTGGAAGGTTGGGAAAATTTGTCTTCATTCGACAGTATATCGTTCATTTTCTCGATGTAGTCTCTTCGATTCAGAAGCACTACACCCGCACCCTTGTCGGGTCGAGTTATAAGTAGATCTTTGTTATCTCTCAGCTGTTTTAATTCCTCTCGGTGCCGCTTCGTTAGGTGGTTGCGGACTTTTGATTTTGAATTCAAGTATTGGTGGCAGCAGTCCATGATTGTTGACTTGAATCTCTGTAATTCGTCTTCAGAAGTTGGGCTGAGATCGTGCGTTTGGCTGATTAGATTTTCAAACTGGACCTGAGTATGGAGTTTGTCGGAGTTGAAATTTATATCGCAGAATTTAGGGCCCAGAGATAGGACTTCCAGTTGCACGTCGGTTAAATGTACTGAGGAATAATTGAACACAAACTTCGTGGGTTCGTCAGGAAATTTGCCTTGAGGTTTCATCTGCTTAAGGCTGTTGTTGAGCTGGGTTACGACAGACTGCGACCGTTTATTCGCAACCAAGTCGATATATTCGGTGAATCTTTGACGTTCATCCGAAGTCAATTCGTATAAGGCAGAGGACCTCTGATTGATATTCCGCTGCAGTTCGGGCATACGTGATCTGATAGAATCAGCACAATTCATTGCATGGCGTTGAAGGGACTTCGTATTTGGATATATATGATTGCGTCGCAGTGCTTTCCAGAACCACTTTGGATACTGATGATTGGAGACGCAATCCTCGAAAAAGCCAACTTTCGCTTTCCCCACTTTTCACCAATGTCCCACTCACAGAAACGGTCTGCTTCATATGCAGATATATAGATGACAACCACCTCGATATTGGAATACCGACAACATACTTGAAAGAACTATTATTGAGATGCACTCTGAACGTCCAGTTCACATTCAACGACACCATCTACAGACAAAAGGATGGTATTGCAA